TGGGTCTGTATATTAATTGAAACCATAAGAAGTATACATGATTATTAAAAAAATTAAAAATTAATAAAATTTGCATTTTATGGAGGATACAATTTTTTGGGGATTTCAAAATAATGTACTAAAACATTAAAAGTAATAAGTTCAAGTCTGTAGCAAATATAAATATTGTAATCATTTCTTATAAATACCATTTCCTAATGTAATTTTTCCCAGATATTAAAGATCATAATGCAACTAAATTTATTAAAAGTAATAGGCTTTATGTTTCTTAAACTACCTACATTCGTCAAAGTACTTATGAATTTTCGAATATATTCATCCACTAGTTTTATTGTTGGAATGAAATATAGCAAGACTTGCATTGCCTACTAAGAAAGTTAGTAGCTGGTAGTCATCGGGTTAAATGCAATGAAATGTTATGCATTTTTAAATAGAACATAAACAAAATACTAATGTTTTGTGTGTTTCATATCACCTATCCTAAAGTAATACAGACAGTAATGATTCGGATAAGGTGTACTGCTTTTAAAAATAAAAAAAAATCTGAAACAAATTAATTCAAGTTTTAGTTGTATTGATAATTCACTGGTTAAATTTAGTTTCTTTGTATTGAGTTTTGGCCTCTCTGAGCCATAATTGGCAGTACAGTTTATAACTTAACACTGAATATTGATGCATGTACATTTTTATATATATAAATACCTACATATGATTGATGTGTCTTATAGAATAGCAAGTACAAATTTGATAGGTTTTAGTGATTCAATATTTATATAATATAAAAAATAAGCATTCTTATCCCTTATCTTCTTAGGTGAAATACCAAATTATAGTTTGTTCAAAATCAAAGGAAGCTAAGTTACTCTGGTATGAATGGCTTAAGCTTTAGAGATTTTTCATACTATAATTCTTGACATGTACAGAATGACAGTCACATTACATTGCTCTCAGATGTTACACATTCTATTTGTAATCCTCAGCTCAATTAACACATATTTTAAAGAAACTGTGAGAACAAGGTCTCTCAATGGAAAGGTTTTACTCTTGTTGAATGGCATTTATCACCAACATGAAAAGAAAGGTACATCTCTACTGACTATGCCCATGATCTTCTGGTGTTACAATATTAGAAGCAACCATACCAGCAGTTAGCAAGGTGGTAGAAGAAAACATCCAAATATCAATCTATTCTTATCATGCCTGTGGGTGACCTGCTTTTTCTGTCCTGTGTTCAATGGGGCAGTGATGTTTGCATATACTATGTTGTTGGTAGACCTTGAAAAATTTGTATTAATGATCAACACATTAACTTAGACATACTAAGTTCAATGAAAGTTTCTTTCACAGTGATGTCGGGAGTCGGATGTTTTTAATGGGAAACATAAGAACTGGAGGAAAACATGGTGCAAAACAATAATTTTAAGTCATTTCCTAAAGGGTGTACGCCTTTCTACAGAAAAAAAAAAATATATATATAGCAGCTTTTATAAAATGTTACTAAAACATACTACATTTATTTCTAGTATCTTTAAGATGATCTTGTAAGATTGTATTATGTATTTTCTGCTATTTATTCCAAGAGTTGTTTCTTTCTGTCACTAGTCTGTCAATGATGAGGAAGTAGAACAACCCAGAATTGGTGCTTTGAATCTTTTATCTCAAAAGTATGAGGTGAGTTAAAAGCTTTTCTTTACTGGTTTTTCCCAGTTATCAAAAGGAGATCATATTTAACAAATATAAAAATTATGTGTGCATATTATAAAGTTATTAATTGTCTTTGACTATCTAAAGTTTTGTTGAGTTTGAATTTCAAAACATTGTGAAGATTTATTTCTCGTGTACAAATACTTATAGTGGGACACTATGTTAATTAATAACTCGTTGTCATCAGTGGCTAGCTCATGTAATGATTGCAGATGAGATAAAGGTAAGACACAACAGCCACAAGTTCTAATAAGTAAGAATTTTAATGGATAATTTATACATGTATTAGTAAAAAAAGTAAAGTTAGAACAATTAGATAGTTAAATTTTACATCAAACAAAATTAAGTATTAAAACCAGACCTTTGATATAAACAGTTATGAAATTAAGGAACAAAACTTTTTTGTTCGTCATTTTCACTGCTTTGCAGCCAGATGTAGAAGATGATTGCTCTAAGACCCCCCAAAAAAACAACACAGTCAGCTTTCCAACTCTCTTATTTTGTAGTATTATAAACTTGAATTTAGTTAGGCAGTAGGAAAAGAATCATAGCTGTAGAGGTTCCAAAATATTTGTAAGTAGCATAACCCTAATCTCTACCTTTAAAGTTTTACTGTCAATTAAAAAAAACTGCTAAAATGTATGACCTATAATGCATATATAAGTATCTAAAGTTTTTTATGCAAATTTTTATTCTTCTTAACAAAGCACTTTAAAATTATAAACCTTTACTTTAGAGTAAGTTATTTACAGTTTAATTACAGGTATACCTGCTATAATGCGCAGAATGCATTCCTAAAAAATGGTGTGTTGTACAAATGTGCATTATGATATGCAGGTTTTCCTACAGGAACAATGTTATAAATTGGGAATGCATTCCTGCAAAATTATTTTTTCCATAAAGTCAATTTTATTAATGGTATAAACCACTTTTACAGCATATATTGATATATATTAATGTAAAAAATAAATATTGCAAGCAAGACATTTAATTTGAAGACAGATAAATACAAAAATGTTTAAAAAACTTGTTTATTAAAAATGAATTTTTTTTACCCTAACACCTGCTGAATTTTGTTACTATTTATAGAAGGAATCCAATGTTGCTTGCTTAGCATCCCTTTTTGTTTCTCAATAAATTTCTATGTAGCAGCTTAATAATTCCTACAATTTTCTGTTTGAAGCCAGCATCTTGGGTAAACCCAACAATCTCCATTGTTAATTGTGGTAATGTATTTTTAAAGCTTTCAAAATCGGTGATGCATGTAGGCCAAAGTTTTTTTCCATACCCCATTCATAGCCAATTGCGTGATATCTACCCATGACAAAGCAATATTGTCAATTGCCTTTTTTTATATTGAATTCTTTCCAATATGTCCTGATGTCTCCTTCTTCTTTAGTGGCAAGCACCAATTGTTCCATTGTTTTTCTCATGTAATAGGCTTTAAAAACAGATATCACACCCCTGTCCATTGATTGTAAAATGGAGGTTGTATTCAGCTGGAAAAATATGATTTTAATATGGGGTTGAAGTTCATTTAGGTTGACTGGGTGGCCAGGGGTATTGTCCAACAGAAGTAGGGCTTTGTTATTGAGATTAATTTCTTGGTTATATTTTTCCACAAATAACACAAAAATGGTGTTGAACCAGTCTGAAAATACATCTCTTGTTACCCATGTCTTTCTGTTGCTTTGCCATACAACAGGTAATGCTCCTTTTGCAATACCTTTTAAGGCCCTAGGATTTTTGGATTGATATAGGAGCAAAGGCTTAAGCTTCACATCGCCATTAAGATTGCCCCTAACAACAGAGTTAGCCATTCCTTATAGGGTTTAAAC